TGGTTGTTAGCCGCTAACCGGCTGGTTGGCTAGTTGTTAGCCGCTAAGTGGAAACAAATAGCTTTAAATTTCCCTTATTCTCCCTTTCAGTGTTATGCAACACCAAAGATAGGTAAATGTGTGTAGCCTATGCATTCCCTCTTTCTCCAGAGAGCTACCAGTACACTGTGCTGGAGTCACTGCCCGTGAGGTCTGTGGTAGCCAGAATCAAAGCAGCAGACGCCGACGTAGGCTCCAACGCAGAGATGGACTACAGGATCATGGACGGGGACGGGCCTGGCACGTTCAACATCACAACAGATGAGGAGACACAGGACGGGGTCATTATCCTGCAAAAGGTGCAAATTACCAAACACACATGCTTTTCAGAATACGAAATCTGTCCATATCAATGGTACTAAGTTAATAGACTCTACTCGGTCAGAAAAATATCACTCAAACTCTTTTTGTCAATGAGATAAACACATCCGTAAATAAGCTGCTGTATTACATGTCGCTTGTTATCACGAGGTAATTTATAAGACACGGTCAAATCCCCGCCAGAAATTCCCTTTTATAACCTTCAAGCAGTCTGTGCTGTTTTTTTATCTCGAAATATTGTTGTTCGCGTTGTGCAGAAAAAAATTCCAAAGGAATTCTTTGGATTCAAGTCAATAGACCGTATTATGAACAGAAATCAACAGATGATGGATGCTTAGTTTTTCTGCAGCCAGAACAAGGCACTCCTCTGTATCATGGAGTTAATTCATTGCACAAAAACAGTGATGAGCCAAACATTTGCATTTGATGACATGATACATGGACACCACTTATCGAGCTGACTTGATGATGTTTAGAAAAGTTGAACAATGCTGCGAGACAGTGTTTGTAATAAATCATATTTAATAGGAATGAAAATCTTTTAGGTTGAACACCCAGAACTTTCTTTTGATTTTTCTTTTGGATAACGATAAATGGAAATGCCCCCTTTTATAGTTCCCACTGGAAACACCCTTAACTGGTCACTAGTCTGCCACAGGGTCACACAGAGACAACTACTGATACACACACACTCAAATTAGACTCACCAATTAAACTAACCTGCATGATTCTGGTTGGTAAGAGAGAGTCAGAGGGAATTTACATGCAAACTGCACACAGAAAAGGGTATTTACAAATGGAAATTGTACAAAAGACGATCCCCGTATATGCAAATTCCTACGTTTACCGAG